CCTTAGTCTCCTTAGTCTCCTTAGTCCCCTTAGTCCCCTTAGTCTCCTTAGTCTCCTTAGTCCCCTTAGTCCCCTTAGTTCCTTATTTCAATTTGAAATCAAGTGCTCTTTTTCTGTTTAAATTCAGATTGAAATTAAATAACCCATAGTATGGGAAGAATAGGTATATGTAAACCTTCCTGGATGCTCGAAAACGCATAGAAACGAATTTTCAAGTTGGTTCTTGTTCCTTAGGATGTGAGTGTGGGTGTAGAGGCGATCAGTTTACGTGTACAAAAATTTAATAAATCCAAAATTTAAATTTGATTTACATAAATTTATTTTAACTGTACTTAAATAAATTTAAAAAATTTAGATTTAAAATAAATTAACAGCAAATCACCATCTTTACAAATATGAAAGGTTATCGTATAGCTCGAGCTGAAACCTATTTTATGAAGAACGATTCATGCTCATTGATTGTGTTCGCTCCGCAAGAAGCCTTCATTATCGGTGTTTTTAATTGCTGTTGACGCACAGTGATTCATGACTGTTTTGACATGTTGTTGACGGCCTTGCTTTCTTTTTTTCTTCCTAACAAATGAAAAAATCACGGTACTATAAAGAGTCTTTAATAGATTTGTCACTATATAAAAGAACTACTACTGCTGGCAGGACCTCATTCAAAAAGAAAACGTCTCGACAAATAACAACAAATTACTATTCATTTTCATTCAGCAATGGCACATTCAATCTCTCATGAATCTGTTATTGATCGGGCTGCGTTCGAGGCATACACACAACTTCGAGCAATAGCTAAAAAATATAAAGTCGAAAACGAACTCGAGGTGCCTCAATTGGTAATTGTTGGCGAAACATCGACGGGCAAGTCGATGTTAGTTCAAAATTTTCTTCGATTTCCATGTTCGTTCTCACAAGCTGATGTTGCCACACGTTGTCCAGTTGCTTATCGACTCGTCTATAATCCGACTTTGCCCATTGGTGAACTTCGTATTATTCGACCAACTGGTATCACTGCTTCTCAACTGGCGAATTATTTACAACAATTAATGAAACATATTCAAGAAGAATATGCCACAACGGGAGGTTTTCGTCAAGAACCAGAATGGATTGAGATCGAAAGTGCTGAATATACGGATTTCGAAATTATTGATATACCGGGTTTAGTTGGTGGTGATAAAGTTGCTGAGAATCGACAAGCAGTAGAAAAGATTGCGGAATCATTCGTACGAAATCCTCGTTTCTTGATCGTCCTGGTGAAAGAAACCACACAGGTTACTGATAATAGTCATGGAGCACGTGTTATCCACGATATCTGTACGAAACCAAATGGTATCGATACTACACTACCACCAAGACATGATTACCGTCAAAATATGATCACTGTACACACCAAATTTGATTCGTTCATGTTAAATTTTACAAATGGAACAGCAGTCAATAAAAATGTTGCCAAGCAATTGCAAGATTTTGGTCCATCTTTCTTCACAAATATGATCTTTGGTGGATACTCAATGACAGAACGATCCTTCGATGAAAATGTCAAATATCTTCGTGAGTTACCACATCAAGAACAACAAGAAGTCGACAAATGGATCGAAGATATCAATCGAAAGAGCGGTCAACCTCCAGATAATTATCAACCTTTCGATGTTCAATATCGCGCACGCATTGGCATCGATGTAGTACGAAATCAAATTCAAACCCTTTGGCTCAAGGTAAACCATCACAGACGAGTAGTGAATTCTAACTGCAAGCTTATCACAGAAACTAAACGATAGTGTGACACTACATTGAA